TCTCTCTCCTCCTCCCTCTCCTCCTCCCTCTCCTCCCTGTCTCTCTCGTCCTCCCTCTCCTCCCTCTCCTCCTCCCTCTCCTCCCTGTTTCTCTCCTCCTCCCTCTCCTCCCTCTCCTCCTCCCTCTCCTCCCTCTCCTCCTCCCTCTCCTCCCTGTCTCTCTCCTCCTCCCTCTCCTCCCTGTCTATCTCCTCCTCCCTCTCCTCCTCCCTCTCCTCCCTGTCTCTCTCCTCCTCCCTCTCCTCGTGCGCCACTGCGGCTTCAGCTTCCTCCATCGGCTGTGCCATAACCCTACCCCCCCCCCCCCCCTTGTTTTCCGTGATGAAAACCCTTTTGGAACTGGATTTTGGGTTAGACTCCCCTGTAGAGAAAAAGTCATCTCCGCATCGGAGAGAGCTGCTGCTCCCCCGGACTGGAGGGACGAGGAGGCGCAGGAGAGGCAGCGCTCATGTCACTCAGAAGGAAACATGAGGAGACTCAGCAGCTAGAAAAGGGTGGCGAGGAGGAAGAGGAGGAGGAGGAAGGAGTCAAGAACAATAAGCGAGGGGAGGTACAGTAACAACAACTGGCAGCACTTTCTCTCCTCCTTCGGCAGAGACGCATGAGGAGAGCGAACCACAGGGATAAAGTCAGCGGGACGACACATTAAAGGGACCCGGACACAGCGGCCATTAGCTGTCACATGACGATGTCCTCTCACCTTAGCCTTTGACAACACTGTGTTCTTTCATCCTCAAATTACAAAGAGGTCTTGCGTCTTCTCTTTACAGATCACTTGGACCAACGACTGAGCATTTAGAGTCGGTGAGAAGCTCCAAACGTGTTGGGCAGATTCCACGTTGTGACGAAAATGACACAGGAGCAGAAGCAACACCAACAGCAAGAAACGTAAAGTGACTGAAGAAGAAGAAGAGCAGGACAAACACGCAGAGTCCTCGCGTGTCCCCTTCGTCCATCCCCTGCTCAGCCCAGATGATGATGTATTTCTGGGTGAGTACCGAGGCCCTGCTGAAGGACCAGGATCACACAGTGCATGGAACGCCGAGCGCTGACATGCAGGGTGCGACGAGGCGGCTCACTGGTCCCGTTCCTGTTTTCTATTGTAGATGGAGGGAGGAAAGTGACGTGGCATAAAGGTCTCTGTCACCTCTCTGCAGTAAGCAGGAGCCCCGTGTCTTTAAGAGTCTGACCTCGCACATTCTACCTGAGGCCAAACCGCACAGCCTGAGTAGTAGAGGTCATGTGGAGTTTTTTTGGATCAACTGTAACTGTTAAAAGAGGGAGCTCCTTGCATCAGGGGGTTCAGTCCGTTTGGGAGATGTGTTTCCTCTGTAGGACCGTGTGATCACATTAGGATTTGTTTGTTGTAGCAATAGAGGAGTCCATCACATGTCACACATCCACCATGAAAGGTCAAAACGCTGCTTTAAGACACATGGTGTGATTGTCCTCACCTTCACATCTCAGTTTCCCCCAAATCTAATGAGATACATTACATACACAACTTTGACCTGACAAAGAGAAAATATTCACATTAATATATAAGAAGCAAAAAGATGGCCTGAAGCAGAGGTGTCATACACCAACTCCTCGGATCAAAATGATTTCGTCTTCCAAACTAGTTTGAAAGATTTGGTTGAAAAAAGAAATGACTGAAAGCATCAAACACGCTTTCTCTTCCACGCGGAGAATCAAATCGCCGGCTGTTATTCCGTCTCTGCATAACGAGCCGTCCAGCTGGATGCAAGTTTGAAAAAGGCTCCAGTGCCAACGTCCCACACTCGTCCCCTTACGTCCTCGATCAAGGACTGCAGAGGTCCAGTCTGTTTATGATTAAACAAACGATTCATTTAGAAAAGTCCCACAGCAAATCAAAGGAACTCTCCGATTTCTACATTTCAACACAATATCACAGCCCATTAATGAGAATGAGCTGCTGATGAGTACAGTGACTAATTGGCAATTTAAAGAATGGGAACAGCACATGAGGGTTTGTTGAAACCCAACCTGGAAATAACGCGTTGAACTGGAGGTTAGGCGTCTTTCCGTCTCATGTTTCCCATTCATGTGGGAGAAGACTACCCAACAGCTTCTGTTAGAGAACATTCTGACCCGGTCAGGCCGAGGACGCCGAAACAGGCTGACCGTGTAATATCACCTTCACCGCTTTTACTCAGCGTTGTGAAAGAAATGTTAATTGCACAATGTATTGATGTAGTATAATGAAACTACATCAGTTGGTTAATTACTGTCTCTGCCAGACCAAAAGATGCACAATAGAAAAACTGTACCTGCAACTGTCACCATGAAGGTATCCAGCACGAGCACCCGAAAGTCCCTGAACGTTGTTTGCATGCTGGCATCACACAAATATTGACGCAAAGTGGTAAGAAAGAGATAAAAGGAGACGCGGCAGAGGAGCCCATCACAGGGATGAGCTTAAAATGAATTACAAGATAATACACCTTTTTCTGAATAGGAATTTGTCCAGTGGAATGGGGAAATGGAATATATAAAGCCATATGCTTGACTTTGTGACAGCGCAGCAAATAATATCAGGAAGAGAAATTGTGACCTAACCTTCTACACAAATATAAAGCAATCAATGTATTCCATTTCTATTCTGTGATGGATTACTGGGGAAGAATGGATTGCTCAAGGTGTCTCCGTCTGACTTAACACACTGTCAAGACTTTAGCATATGTGTTGATACACACATCGTTTTGAAGTAAAGGTCTGCCATTGATCTGGCTGCAGGCATGCTTGAGCTATTTGTACCATTATCAGGGTAACATTGTGTGCACCAGCATATGCGTCAGTGTGTGTTTACGCAGTCATGTCATGGGAGTTGGGCCTCGACAGGGGATCCAGCTGAAAGTGTGTAAAAGGCTTCTTATTGAAGCTGGAAACCAGCGGTACGGCCTGTACTGCCCCACTGCAGACCACTGCAGACCACTGCAGACCCACAGCACGGTGTCCCTGGCTGCTGGCCGCGCGACTAATCCGCTGTGTGTTGTGAGGAATCGCTGCTCTGTTGCTGTTGTGTGTTGTTGAAAAGCAAAGCTTGAGGCTCGGTTCATCGATTTACCACCACCTGTGCATTGGGATTCAATAGCATGGTCTTCAAGCGTTTGAGTTTCAGAACTTTAATCTCAACACTATGCATTTTGGGTAAATACCTCTGTATGGAAATGAGCTTCCCCTCAGGCTCAGTTTACTCTATTTAGTGTGAACCTCCGGGTTCCGTGTGCAGTAATTGCTTTAGGAGTTCTAATTGTGAGCACACAAGCATCACAGGTTGAAGCTGCTGAAACACCATTCAGATTAAAACGCTTAAAAGAAGCACAAAGCGGTTATTCTAGCAGCCATCCTCCTCCCTCCTGATCCACCCACGCTGCCTTCAACTGGCTGCTGGCGAAGGAACACCTGCCTCATTGCAAACGGTGTTCATTTACTTGAGTTTGGTGGCACGTTTTCCCCCCGTTGGGGCTTACAAGGGTTTAAAGTAGTTGTGTTGCTAGTAGAACCTCTTCCTGCTGCTTGTGAAGGACCAGGGTACGCGTGACGCAGGGAGAGAAAACATAGAGACTTTTCTCACCCAAAATTGGTAACAGCATCCAACAAAGGGAGAACTCACACCAACTAAATAAATGGAACATAATTCTGAGTTTAACATGTGTCGTATCTCACGCATGGTGCGTGCCTCTTGAAAAACAAAAACCGCACTGATTTATCCCGAACGGCATCTTGGTAGCAGGCGGGCCGGTCCACGGTTCATCGCAGTTCAATTGCCACCCGTCCTCCTCTGCAATGTAGATGCGCCGGCCTCCGACAAAACCCCTCTTCCGGTTCCAGAGTGGAGCAGCCCAATAACCCAATTAACCTGTGAGGCCGATGCTCTGTCATTTGGCTGGAACTCATCACAATGTAACATTAGTTGCACTGTTGTAACTGAGTGAGGGAAGGAGAAGTCAAGTACTGCTGCCATGGTGACCTCAGTGGATCTTGCTGTTAACGGCTGCCCTCCTTCTCTTTGCTGTTCCTCTCTCAGTCCGGTGTGAGCTACAGTCGTTAATAATGGGGAGTCGGTTACTGGGGGCTTTCTGTAGATATGAAGCAAAGCAAATGGCTTTGATAGCAAAGCAGCAGCCAGCGCAGTTTACATTAGCTATTCCTCTTCATCACTGCTTCTTACTGATTCTCTTTTCCTCTTCTTCTGTCTGTGGGACCCAAATATACTGTAAATAAGCACACACAAACTTTAATGTGAAATATAGCCAAGATGTGGATGCATGGTTATTGTGCAGACACATGCAGAGAGCTGTAGCTACACACACACACACACACACACACACAAATCAATGCATCTGTGGCTAAATGTATTGATACTAACATATTGTAAGTTGGTTGTACTGCAGTGCTCCAGGACACACACACACACACACACACACACGCTTAGTGCCGAGGTTGCAGTAGTCTCCTTGATACTGCTATGACAACAGTTGCAAAGTTAAAGTACTTCCATCTGTCTCTTCGGAGACTCTGGGCGAGAACAAAGTCCTCCTGTGTGAGGGATGTAAGAATGATCACAAAGGCTGGAAGAGAGGAAGCAAAACAAGTAGCCAGAACTAATGAACAGGTACGTCGGGGGAAGAGAGAAGACGAGAGGGAGAGGATGGTGAGAGAAGTAGAACAGCTGGAGGTGCAGCTCACGACTCAGGTGCTCACCAGGGACAAAGAAAGGGCAGGAGGGGACAGGTGGGGTGGACCTTTCAGTGTTAGTGATAGTCCCTTTTGAATCGGAGGAGAAGGAAGGAAAAGAGAAGGTTGCCTGCTCCCTTCTCTCGGCTCTCGTCAGTAAGCTGATAAATAATTGAGTGTGCCGAGCAGGGGACTGCATGGTTTAGAGGGGGAGAAAAGGGGGGGCCTGCTGGGGGCCTAGACAGTGAAATGAGGACCTGCTCCAGAATAGAAATCCTTTCAACTCTTCTTCTTCTGCTTGCCTCCCTTTTGATCCTCCTCAGTGGTTCTGTCTCCAGCTCCGATGCCCTGATCTATGAGTGTCTGAGATCAAGCCCTGCTCCATTTTGCTCCATTACTTGGTTTACACTCCAAATCCTCCTTTTTTAGAATGCAGCAGGTCTACGAAGAACAGCATTGAATAAGTGAGCAGTATGTATATGCAACATGTCAAGGTTTGGTGTCTGATTCCGCTTAAAGAGGCAACATTTGGCATCTGCAAGAGATACTTTGGCATTTCAATCTCTTCTCTCCTCTTTTTCTGCTTCTATCTCTGCTGCCAAAAGCTCTTTCTACCAATCCAGAATTGAATCTTCATTTTCTAACCCCAAAAAACTCTTCTCTCTTCTCCAACCTCCTCGAACCCCCTACCCCTCCTCCCCCCTCAGTCAACTACTTTACCATACGCTCCTCTTTCTCAAACCCACCCCTCTACTTCTTGCAACCCACTGGCTTCACCTCGATCGCCCTCACTTTCCTCCTTCACCCCCTGTCTCCTAACCAAGTTCTTACCCTAGTAACCTCTGCCTGTCCGACCACCTGCCCTCTTGACCCCATTCCATCACATCTTCTACAATCTATCGCTTCTGACCTTCTTCCTTTCCTCACCTGTCTCATCAACAATGATCTGGGTGTTTTCCCAATCCTCTGAAGGAGGCAAGACTGAACTTCCACTCCTGAAGAAACCTGCAGACCGGTCTCTTCTTCCCTTTTCTTCCAAAACCCTTGAACGTGCGTACCATGCTGTGAATGGATGGGGTCCAGCTTACATCCAGGACCTGGTCCAACCCGACATCCCGACCCGCACTCTCCGCTCTGCATGTGATAAACTGCTTGTTCCTCCTCACTGAGAGCAAAACACTCGATCTAGATCTCCACTCTTTGCTGTCCTGCTCCTAAATGGTGGAAGGAGGTCTCTGAAGACATCAGGACCACAGAGAGCCTTCACATCTTCAGACTAAAGACACACC